TATGTATGCCCCCGCAGTACATGCAAGAGAGATATGAATGGTTGGTACATGTTTTGTTAACAGATATGACTGGTAAATTTAATTTCATAATAAGAGAACTGAAAATTTTGTAAAAAAAAAGTGACATCTGTGGTGCAAAAAATAAAAAATAAAAGAATGTCAAGGAGGTTAATGGAGAAAAAAATTGTTTTAAAGCTAATAAAGTTTCTCTGAAGTTTGGATGCTTGTCATACTTTGTGTTATACGTATCTTCCAGGACTGCACGTGCATTGATTTCTGCCCAGAATGTTCAGTAGAGTTTCAGCTTGAAGTTAAGTGTCTCGAAGAACAGACAAAACATGTTACAACTGCTGACTTGAAGTCTAGTGATCCAAGAGTTGTACCTGTGAGTGGTAACTTTAAGTTGTCTGCTAAGCATAGGTCATCTAGCTTTGTAATAATGCTTTCTAAGGAATAATTAAATTTTATTTACTGAATATATTTGAATCTAAAGATGAATAATTGAGATTTCAATTGGGAAATATAGAGGTAATTTGATAATTGTAATGAGGTAAAAAATTTAGCTTTAAGAAGGAACGGATAAAATGTGAATAACTATCTTTTAAGCAGTGCCATTTTTTAGATGTAAAATGGATAATAAATTTAGTTACAAGTAATGCATGTACGAGATGAATGTACACTTGCATCTGATAGAAAAAAATATTCTTTCATCAAATGTGAATTTTATTATACTTGTCTGATACATGTGCTAAGTGTTTTTCATTTTAATTATTTACTTTTTCTTTTATGTTGCTACATGTTTCATATAGAACTTGCTATTCTTTTGAAAGTTTGTTATAATTTGTTTGTTTAGTGTATGAAAATACAACTGTATTTAATGAAGAGTGATATTCAAAACATTATTGTAAACATTGCATAATTTATGGTTGAAATGGAATAATCCTTTGTCTTAGTGAATCAAACTATTATGTAGGTAGTTATAAAGCCTTGTAACATCAAAGATACAACTTGTTTTGTGTGTTAAGTCATGCTGAAGATATGTTGTTATAAACTAATCATTCTATTCAATTTTTTGTTGTGGTTTCATTAAAATAAAATTTACTTAATCTACTGCATTTAAATATTAATATATTTTTGGTGTTAATTATTTTTCAGTCAGTTCACTGCTCTGAAAGTACATAATGTATGTGGAGTTTACTATGACTTGGATTTCAGTTGGAAGTCTATTTCAAAAGCACCATAATAACCGTTACAGCATCATGATATACGAGATCCACTTATGAGGGATACATGTACATTATCACATTCACTACTAAATATTAATATAAAGGAACTTTGAATATTTTTCTACATTTATATATGATGTTTTGTATTACGTTCATTTAATATAAAAAATGTACAAATTAGGTAATGGTATTCATTATCTAACAGCACAGAAGCTGTATGATTATCAGTGGCAGTTGCTTAGTGTGAAATATATATATATACATAAGTAATAGTTTTAGTATTATTTTTTGAAGTGAATAAGATCACTTGGGGAAAAAAATAGAAGATTGTTCATAAGTGTGTTCCTTCTGCACATTTTCTATAAACTTTGTAAGTGCTATGTGTGTTCCCTCTGCACATTTTCTATAGACATTGTATGTGCAGTGATGCAGAGAATAAAGCTGTAGTACCTACTGGTTTTTGTTTTTGTAAGAAAAGGTAATGTTGCTGAATGAAATGTCTTGATAAATTTTTTTGCTAATTCTCCTTGTAGTAGACCAAGTGTGTATGTTTGAAAATTCAGGGAATTAAAACTAAATCATTACTGTATATTGTTGATTTAGAATTCATAACCAGGCTGGCAGAAGTAGTGTTAAGATGGGATAGTGTTGTGAACTCGTTAAACAAAAAACAAAACGCTACTATCTGTAGCTAATATAATAATAAAGCAATATTTGGATTAAATGATAATTTCAAATAAAAGTTTAAATACATGACTTGATGGTGATATATTTTAGGTTTTTGAATGTCATGTAATCAGAAGACAATTTTCAAACATCTGTTGGGTACTTTGAAGACAGAAAATGTGAAGAATCCTTTTTTTTTATAGAATAACAAAACCTGAAATTAATAAATGTCATGATTAGTTTTTGTAATTTATTGAATTTAACATTTTGCTCTATAACAGTTTTTCTATGCTGTAAATTTATTTAAATAACTAACACAAGGTAATTTCAAACATGAATTTTTTTTCTCTTATCACACTTTTAACATCAGCTGAACTAAACAAGAAATCCAACACTGGTGAGCTGATGTTAAAAGTGTGATAAGAGAGAAAAAATTCACATGTAAATAAATTTTTACTTCATTTTTCTGTTGCTTTACATACTTTCACTCTTTTACCATACATGCCCGCCATTCCATTTTTCACATAATCATTCCTGGGTTTATTGAGTTAATTACAGGTTATGAAAAAACTAAAACAAAATTAAATGTCCTATAAATTAATGTAATGCTGAAACAAAAACAACATAATGCCATTATTTCATCATAATGAACCATATTTTAAATTTTTATTCAATTTTTAATCCAATAGAATTTTCCATTGCTGGCACTAGGAAGCAGAAAGATTGTATTATAGTCTGTGACCTTTAATGAACTAAGAGCTTTAAGAGAAGAAGTTGTAATATCAAGAGAGTAACATATTGTGTCCTAACAAAATTATAGGATTGATAAATATCATTGCTTTGATTTTAATGTTGATCATTGTGGATTTAATGCTTGCAAAATTTGAATAATATTTTCTTGTTTATCAGAAGGAAAGAAACTACAAAAGTTTGATTTAAAAAACAGTGTAAGAAATCTATGTTTAGGTTGTTAAAGTCTTATGTTCATTTTCTGGTGGAAGGGCTCTTGCCAGGATTTTTCCTTGTATCTTATTGGGGTGGCCATTCCTCATTGTTGTTAGAAAATGTTGGCATCTTTGTATTACCTTTCTTTCACGATTCCTATAAGGCATTTTCATTGGTTTGGTGGGATCATTTTTATGTACTTGGAATACGGGTATTGTTTTTTTGACATTGTTTATCATAGCAAGTAAAGCTGAGATAAGGAGTATATCTGAAACATCGGGAAACTAGGAAAAAGAGAGTAGTAGTCAGAGTAGTTTTGTGTGACTTGAATAAAGTGGTGTTCTACAGGGAAACTTATATATTCAATAAACAAATTTGAAATGCATTTACATGTTTTTGAATTTAATTGTTTTTTTTTTCTAATTCTCAGGTAACTTCAAGACATAGAGAAGATGACTCAAGTGAATATGGAGAAACAGATGGTAATCTTGTAATTATTTCTTCTACACAATAAAATTGTAGACAAAAACCAAAAATCAGGACATGTTAGTGTACTAGCTCCATGAACAAGAAGCTAAACATGATTTGAACCTGATTATCATCACAATATTTGTTTGGTAATAAAATTACCTTTGTACACATGTTTTTTTTCTGGAATTGTTTTTGCTTAGTATATTAAAACATTATTTTAAAACTGCATTCTTGCAAAAATTAACCGTAAATTGAAGGTGACATGTAAGTAAATATTACAGGTCTTTGCTTTTACATATAGGATTGAAAGTTAACATTCTTTTTGTGGTAAAACATTATTTTTTGTGTATAGTTTTTTAAGATATTAAGATAAGTAATCAGATGGTTATTTTCACATTATATACTTACAAAATAGCATCAAGTGTTACTAACAATTCATGCAGTATTTTATTCTGATTTTTTCTTGTAAATTATTAAATGAAGGTAATAAGTGAGATGATCTGTTTCTTCCACTAATTAATTTAAAAAGACTATAGCTTTTTTTGTCTCTCTCAGTGTCACAGATTTTAATTACAATTTCCTTTTCTCTATAATTATTGACAGATATCAGGACTTATTTTTATTGAATTGTGGACTTGCTATTTTTTCATGTGGCTATTGTTTTTTCCATCCATGTAGGACCACTGGACAATGTAAAAATGTGGTATTCTTTAGTACACTTTTGAGGTAGTTCCACAAATGACAGTTTTCTCAGGAAATATGTTACAGAATAAGTCAGAATTCAAGCTTTGACTGAGTTTAAGCAAGAAATAGACTGAACACAATGTAAGATAGTGAAAATCTGTATTTTGAGAAACATAATGAAAGCCACAAGTGCACTTTTAATGGAGAAGTTTAGCCATCATTTCCATAGATCTGTATAGTTATGTCTTTGTATCTAGTTCCACTCTGGGAAATCATAGCAGTATATACAAGATTCTATAATGCCATCCTCTACATGAATATGTGCTACCCACATTAGTGATGGTCACTCAGAAAAATTATGGAGGTTATATCTTTCCTCCATGTATCATCTTACCCACCAGTGCAAAAGATCACTGTCTGCCTTTACATAGTGTATCTTACTTTACAGTAATTTTTATCCTGAGAAAGGGTGCAGGATATTGTAAGAGAATGACCCAGAACAATAGGAAACCAGAGTAAAAGGATTTTAGCAACTACATTCCTTGACCAACACACTATTTTTAAAACACTTCACACAGCTAGAAACTAATTATATCTATGAAATAAGGTTAAGTAAAATATAGTGAAACACATATAGAATAATACTACACTGGTAGTGGCAGACAACAGATAAAGTGAATTTAAAGTGCTCTTACTCTAATTTTACTGTAAATCCATATTGGTGATTTTAACTATAACTGTTCACACAGCTAGAAACTAATTATATCTATGAAATAAAGTTAAGTAAAATATAGTGAAACATATATAGAATAATACTACACTAGTAGTGGCAGACAACAGATAAAGTGAATTTAAAGTGCTCTTAATCTAATTTTACTGTAAATCCATATTGGTGATTTTAACTATAACGTCTGGATGAGTGAATCCTGCTATAAGGTAAACTTGCATCATTGAATTAAAACTTTATACAAAATAAACTTGTAGTCTTCCTTCCACATGTTTGATTTTACAGATACTTCAGAGTTGAAATTTATTCAAAAGAAAGATTTTACTTGATTTTATACATTATATTTTTAAATTGCAAATTTTGAATATGGGTTGATTCAGTGAGCTCTGAACGAAATCATTGGTATTTATGAATTTTCTCTGAGCATAATAAACTGCTCCACCAGTGGCTCAGCAGTAAATTCCAAATGCTTATGATGCCAAAAACTGGGTTTCTATACCTGTAGTAGGCACAACACAAACAGCCCACTGTTTAATATTCTTTTAATTACAAACACAACTAATATGGCACTCACAGCCCTTTAGGAAGAAATTCAAAATAGTTTTGAACAAAGTAGCAGTAATTTGTCCTTGTAAGTTGAAAATGCATAAAGATTTATCAATTTTTAGTCAATTACTACTTTTCAACCTTGGTTGTTATGATTGGATATAATTGCTTATGTCTGAACTTTAAGAAATCATAAGCTTATGACTGCACATGAAATAAAAGGTATTTTTCCATTCTTTTCAAATTTACAAGTCTCAGGTTCATTGGAGATTCTTACAGAGATTGGAACAAAATGATAAAATGTTAGCTTGATGATATATTGCTAGAATAAAAAAAGGATAATTTTGAGCAATTTCAACCACAATTACAATCCTTATTTTTTTTTTTTCATTTGTGTTGTATGATAGGAAAATAGATGTTTTTCATAGGACAAAATGAGGTAGGCTTTGTTAAATTATTTTAATCTTGACTGAATCATGTTTCATTATGCTGATAAGGCCACTGTGTTAGGCCTTATTGTCCTAAGTAACTGTTATATTGGACAAAGAAAATCACAAAAATAAATATGTAAAAAAATATATATATATTAAATGAAAATTTCTCATTAATAATTAAAAACTCAGTTTGCTAATAATTTTGATGTGGTAGAAAATGTTATTTCTATTGTATATCAGTAATTTTAAACAGAGAAGCTGCATGTGGTGTTTTTTGAATCAAAACATACAATTTAACAGTTTTATTAAATGAAACTATAAGAAGGTTTTATAAGGATGTAGGAAGACAAAAATCAGTAATTAAAATTTGCAACAGAGGTAAGCATTTTCAATTGTTTTTTAAACATATCACATTAAATTCATTCTGAATTTTCAAAGTTGCACATTCTTGCAGATATTACATATAGAAACAAGATATTTGCAGAAATTATATAATACGTAGAAAGTTCTTAAGTTTCAAGCTGTTTCACCTTGTGCTTTTTTTTTTAATTCATTAAAATGTAACATACAATGGGTTCATCAAATGGACACACTATACGTGGTTGTTAATACTGACTTATTGATTTTATTATCAATATTATCGTGATGATTCTTAGTTATTACTATGGCTTATGCTTTGCTTACATAGACATTATACACCAGAGAACTTGATTACTTAAATAATTAGTATATTTTTTGATTCAACTAAGATTTTATGATGTTAGTCATAATGACTGATGAATTCTGGTATTGATCAAATGCTTGAAAGACAGTTGCCTCCGGCAGACAAACTCTAATTGTATTGTAGTTACACAATTCTTAATTTAAACCCAACTTGAAGGCAGAGGTAGCTAAGAGTGAAGTGTTCAAAATTATTGTAAAGTGTATGGTGTCATAACATGTTGGCTGCCACCAATAGTATTAATATATTAAATATAAATTAAATTAAACATACAAGAGGTGCTGAGGAGCAGTCACAATGTCCCAAACTCAAAATTATTGTAAAGTGTATGGTGTCATAACATGTTGGCTGCCACCAATAGTATTAATATATTAAATATAAATTAAATTAAACATACAAGAGGTGCTGAGGAACAGTCACAATATCCCAAACTCCTTTGTATCGGCTTAGGAACATGATTATCTGTGACCTACCAGTGTGTTACGTGGTCCATAACTAAAAGTCATTTGTGACACACCAATGGGGCACATGGCAGTGTATTCTGTTTGTTTGCAGACCAAAAAATAAGCTATTTAATGTTTCTTTCTTCCAAATATTATACTCGAGTTACTTGCATTTGCTTTTTGAATGTATAATAAACACCTGATGATAAAAAAAAAGTATTGCCCAATTATTTTGATGTTATAGAGTGGAGATATAAAGAATGTACTGAACATGTTTTTTGAAGAAGTAAATATACTTTGAATTTTCAGATATTCTTATAGTGAAACTTAGGAAAGGCCAAGAGCTTAAGTTCCGTGCCTATGCCAAGAAAGGTTTTGGAAAGGAGCATGCTAAGTGGAACCCAACTTGTGGTGTTGCTTTTGAATACGATCCAGATAATATATTTAGACACACAACATTTCCAAGGCCTGAAGAATGGTAAGTATTGTGCATAATATTTGAGTTACAAAATATATTTGGTTTTCTTTACATGTTTTTGTATGTTAAATTATTACAAACTGTTTGTGTGCATTAATCTTTTTCAAAATTTATCTAAAAGTAAGACTTCTAACTCTGTTTCATCAATTTTAACTCAAATATGTTTTATTAGCTTTGAAATTTTGTTATTCTGTAACATTTGTTTAGTGTAATTTGAAAAGACAAATTAGCCAGATTTACATTTCTGCATAGCTCCAAGGAGTCTCTCCTGGAGACAGTACATTTGTTGATTTATAAACATTTTTTGTCCATTCCAAAGCATAGGTTTCTGTTTGCTTAGAAACTGTCATCATTTAAAAATTCAATAAGCTACACCTTTTTTGAAAACTAAAAATTTTACTTGAAAACAATGATTATTTTATACACAATTCAATAAAATGAGACTGTTTCTAGTCTCCAAATTATTAAAATAATAACATACTGTACAAGGTTAAAAAGTGGTAAAATCCCCAACATGACTGAATAAAAATCTCATT